TGGTAACCATAATCAAGGTAGAGATAATTAGAAGAATCAAAATAGGGGAAATTTTCAAAACAACTCTCAAAGGGGCCCTCCACCCGGATTTGCTCCAATAGCCCAAAATGATAATTCCTATGTTCAATCCTCTTCTTCTTCTTCTAGGACTAATTTGGAAGAAATCATTGAAAATCAAACGAATTTGTTGAACACTAACATGGCCGTAAGTGACAAGAAATCTAATGAAATGATGACTCATAATAAGATGCTTGAAAACCAAATTTCTCAACTTTCAAATGCTTTGAAAGACCAAGCTAGTCCTTCTTCTTTACCTTTTCAAGGCCTAGATCCCAAGAGACCGGTCAATGCTATTGTTACAAGAAGTGGTAAGGTTCTTGAGGAGAGTTTACCTAGGACGAGTAAGACCAAGGAGGCCACAAATGAGGTATTGGTAGAAGATGAGAGAAATGGTGCATCTTTGAGTGAGGTTGAGAATGAGAAACCTAGTGAGGTGAGAGTTGAGAAAGAAATTGTGAATCCAAGCTTCCGTATCCACAAAAATTCATGAGACACAAGTTGGATGAACAATTTGGAAGATTTATTGACATGCTTAAGCAACTTTACCTCCCTCTACCATTTACCGAAGTTGTCATCCAAATGCCCAACTATGAAAAATTCCTCAAAGACATTTTGAGCGGTAAGAGGACTTGTGATGTTGTAGAGACGGTGAACTTGACCAAAAATTGTAGTGCAATTATAATGAACAAGATTCACCTAAGCTAAAAGACCCCGGAAACTTTTCCATCCTTTGTGCCATTTAAAAAATGCAAATCGAGAATTCCTTATGTGAAATAGGTGCTAGTGTTAGCCTTATTCCATATTTGGTATACCAAAGACTTGAGCTAGGGAAACTGTTACCTACCAACATCACTTTGCAATTAGCCAATAGGTCAATTAAGTTTCGTAAGGGTAAGGTGGAGGATGTCCCTTTGAAGGTTGGGAAATTTTTTATTCTGGTGGATTTTGTGGTGCTTGAGATGGACGAAGATGCTATCATTCCTATCATTCTAGGGAGATCATTCCTTGCTACTTCGAGTGCTATGATAGATGTGAAGAGTGCTAAAATTTTACTCAAAGCATGGGATGAGGTGATAGAATTTGACTTGAATGATAGTATGAAGTATCCATGTTCTTCTTTAGAAAATTGCATATTGATTGATTCTCTTGATCATGTTGTGTCTTCCATGCATGAGCAATTGCTCACTTCTAATAATTCTCTTGAGAATGTTTTGTTGAATAAGGAAAAGATAGGTGCTCCTAGCAAGGAGATGGCTTATTATGAAGATGTTCTCAATGGAGACCTTGAGGACGTTGAAGAGAAAATGTGTATGAGCATTTCTAGCCAAGAATCGTTGCAAGTGGCTACATCAAAGAAGGGTAAAGGTGTAGTTCCAATGGTTGAGCTCAAACCTCTTTCATCACACCTTAGGTATGAATTCTTAGGACCCAACTCAACCTTTCCCGTGATTGTTAACTCTTCTTTGAGTTAGCCCCAAGCTCAAGAGTTGTGTGGTGTTTTGAGAAATCACCAAGGTGCTTTGGGTTATACCATTGATGATCTCAAAGGTATAAGCCTCTCTTTATGTACTCATCACATAACCCTTGAGGAGGGTGTTTTACCTTATATTGAGAGGCAACGAAAGCTTCATCCGTAAATGGGAGAGGTAGTGAAGAAGGAGAACCAAACTTTTGGATTCAGGAATTATATTCCCCATCTTAAATTCCAGTTGGTTTCTCCCGTTCATTTCGTCCCAATGAAAGGAGGTATGACCGTCATCGAGAATGAGAAAAGTGAGCTCATTCCGACGAGGACGATCACGAGATGGAGGATGTGTATAGAATATAGACGTCTAAACTCATCTATAATGAAATATCACTTCCCCCTACCTTTTATTGATCAAATGCTTGAGAGACTAATGAGGCACGAGTACTATTGTTTTCTTGATAATTATTCTGGATTTTTCTAAATCCCTATCCACCCGGATGACCAAGAGAAAACAACCTTCACTTGTTCATATGGTACATTTGCCTATAGGAGAATGTCGTTTGGCCTTTGTAATCCTCCCGCAACATTTCAAAGATTCATAATGAGTATATTTGGAGATAAGTTGGAGGAGGAGATGGAGGTGTTTAAGGACAATTTCTCCATATGAAGTAATTCATTTGAGGCATGCCTTGAAAACCTTGAGAAATGTCTAGCAAGGTGTGAGAATGTGAACTTGGTTTTGAATCGGGAGAAGTATCATTTTATGGTGCAGGAAGGCATAGTCCTTGACCATAAGATTTCTCACAAGGGGATAAAGGTGGAAAAAGCAAAAATTGAGGTTATTGAGAAGCTTCCACCTTCCGTCAATGTGAAAGGAGTGAGATGTTTCTTAGGAAATGCTGGGTTTTATAGATGATTCATCAAGGATTTATCGCACATTGCAAAGCCCATTTATGATCTCCTTCAAAAGGATGTCGAGTTTGTATTTGATGATAAGTATTTGGAGGCATTCAATAAGTTAAAGAAGGCCCTAATCTCTACTCTTATTGTTTAATCCCCAAGATGTGATTTACTTTTTGAGTTGGTGTGCGATGCGAGTGATTCGGCAATTGGAGGTGTCTTGGGTCAATGAGTGGCAAAGAAGCTCCATGTGATATATTATATGTCCAAGACTCTAAATGGTGCTCAACGGAATTACATCACAACGGAAAAGGAATTTTTTGCTATTGTTCATGCTTTTGAGAAGTTCTGTTGTTATTTGCTGTGTTCCAAGACCATTGTCTTCACGGATCATGCGGCTCTCAACTACCTTTATGCCGATAAAGAGTCCAAGCCTAGGTTGATCCGGTGGTTACTTGAATTTCAAACCTTTGACATTGAGATTAGGGATAAGAGAGGAGCGAAAAACGTTGTGGCGAACCATCTCTCTCGCATAAAGGATTCTCAAATTCATGATGATCGTTCTCCAATTGAGGATTAGATGCTTTTTTTTTTGGTAAATAGAAAATTTTATTACCAAAAGAAAATGTTACAACTTACAAGAGCTAAGTTATAACAAGCACCAAACCCCACAAGACCTGAAAAACAGGCCAACCACCCACCAAACAGTTCAAACCCTTTCTCTAGCCACCTTCTAGGAAGGGTTCAAGAGAAAGAGACAAGAACAAACTGAACTCAAGCTTCCAGCCACCTTCTAGGAAGGGTTCTGGAAGTCAGGCCCAGCAACACAAAACAAACACAGAGCAGGACAAACCTGCAAAGAACACACACTAATAACAAATCTGCAAACTGTAAAAAGAAATAATAAACCCCCACCTAGACTCAGCCGCAAAAAGCAGCAGGACTAGACAAAAGAGGCAATACAGCAACTCTGAGAATACAGACCAGAACAGCAAACTAAACTCAAGACTGGGAAAACCAGGATGAGCACCAGAATAGACAAAACTGCCAAAGAAACAAAATTACAGGATCAGCAAATTCCTTTCAGAACCAGAACATCTACAGGCAACAACAAATAATACATCTCTGAGCACAGCTTCACCAGATTTGCATCTTCCTATAAAGATCAAGGAGTTTCTCTATAACCAAATATGATACACAGTTTCAGTAAAACACATTCCCAACAGTCTGTTTTTAGCTCTATCCTTCCTGCAGATTTTAGAAACCCACATAACTTCAGCATCAAAGCTTAAAATAGACCTGTTGCAACCAAAGATAGCCAAAATCCTTCCCCAAATAACCTTAGTAAAACTGCATTCAAAAATAAATGCTCAACTGGCTCAGGATGCAGATTACAAAGGAAACAAGTAGGATCACAATGCATATTCCATAGACTCAATCTATCTTTTGTGAGTAATATGTTCCTAACAGCAAGCCAGAGAATGAACAAGCTCTTACGGGTAGTAGAATTGTTACAAAAGAGCCTTCTCCATGGAACTTTAGGAGCTTGAGTCATGACCTTCAAATAAATCTTCTTAATCTTGATTTTATCACCATGTTTAACAGCATCCCAACCACCAATATTATCAATAACAGTTCTACATTTTAGAATTCTACTCAGCGCCCAAGAACACTTCCAAGGGGCAGGTTTATTCCACCAAGGTTTATCTTTAAAATAATAGGTATGAACCCATTTCACCCATAAGTTATCAGCTTTATGAGCAAGATCTCAAAGAAGTCTAGAGATAGCAGCAACATTCCACTCAGGAAGAGAAAGAAGATTCCAGCCACCACTAACTTTTGGGAGACAAACTTGAGACCAAGAGACAAGGGATTTCTTTTAGGGATTAGCTTTCCCAGTCAAAATAAAATCTCTAAATCTAAATTCAATTTCTCTTAGGATCTTTTTAGGAAGAATGAAGATTTGAGCCCAATAAGTTTGTATGCCAAATAGGACACTCTTAACTAATTGGAGCCTACCAGCATAGGAGAGGTGCTTAGCAGACCACCCATTAATCCTAGCAGTCACTTTATCAACAAGGGGCTTGCATTGAGCAATGGTCAACTTTTTAGAAGAAAGAGGAACCCCTAAGTACTTGAATGTAATAGTATCAGGAGAAACCCCAATCAAATCTCTCAACTCATCCTGCTCAGAATCAAGGAGCCCACCAAAATAGACCTCAATTTTATCTAAGTTAGCTGATAAACCAGAAGCTTCAGAAAACTTAGAGAAAGCTTGGAAAAGCAAAGAAACAGACTGAGCATCTGCTCTAGAGAACAGCAGCAAATCATCAGCAAACATAAGATGGGTCAACCCCATTTTCTCACACCTAGGATGATAATTAAAATCAGGATTCAGCTGAAGCTCAGAAAGACATCTAGAGAGGTACACCATTCCAATGGAAAAAAGAAAGGGGACCATGGGATCACCTTGCCTAAGACCCTTCTTTGCAGGGAATGGATTTGAAGGAATGCCATTGATCAAAATAGAAAAGGAGACAGAAGACAAACAGGCCATAACCCAGGCAATAAATTAGTTAGGAAAACCAATCTCAGACATAATAGTCTTCAGATTACCCCATTCAACAGAGTCATAAGCTTTTTTCAGATCAATCTTTAACATACACCTTGGAGAAAGGAACTTATGCCCATATCCTTTAATAAGCTCAGTGGCTAACAAGATATTGTCACCAATATGCTTCCTTGGGATAAACCCAGCTTGAGAGCCATCAATCACCTCAGAAATCACATTTGCAAGCCTTAAAGTAAGAATTTTGGAAATAAGCTTATAAAGAACAGAACAGCAAGCAATTGGCCTAAAATCTTTAACAAGGGAAGGATTCTGAACCTTAGGAACTAAGGTTACAGTTGTGCAGTTTCATTGCCTCAGCATAACACCAATATTGAAAAACTCCATAACACCAGCATAAACATCATTTTTCACAACATCACAAGCTTTCTTGAAGAAGTGAGAATTAAACCCGTCAATTCCAGGAGCTTTGGAGCTATCAATATCTTTCAAAGCTAAGTCAATTTCCTCAGTGGAAATAGGAGCAATAAGAGACTGCTGAGAATATCTAGAAAGCTGAGCACCTCTTCTCACAGTACCAAGATCAACCCCAGGGAGGGAATCAGAACTGAAGCCAAGAAGAGCTTTATAGAAACCAGTGATTTCTTCTTCAATAGCAGCAGGGGTTTTTAATAAAGTACCATCACTAGTAAAAAAAGTATCAATCCTATTCCTGCCTTGTCTTTTTTTCATAACAGCAAAAAAATATTTGTTGTTACTTGACGGGCGTTAGAACGGTCGCACATTCCACACTCAATCAAATAAATTTATAAATCCTAAAACTAACCCCTAAACAAGTCTAGTGGTAAGTTCGGAGTCGAACCACAAGGAACGGTAATGTTGGATTGTTCTCGATCTAATGCTTAAGCTACGCCGAAATCGGTTTATGGATAGTGGACACTACAACTACACTAAAACACATATAAAGAACAAGGTATGATAAAGTCTACTAGGGGAAAAGATCCACTTAGAACAATTAATAAGCTAATGAGAATCCATTTGATAATCAATCATGAAAAGAAAGAATTATAATGAGAATTAACTACACTCAAAAGTAATCTCTCAAATTCCTAGCCTAGATCCCTCATTGACTAGGTGCATAGAAGAAAATTACCCAAAATGCAATCAAATATATCAATTCTAATTCACAATCCCTTGTCAAACTAAAACCAATATGCAATTAAGTGTGCTATCATGGGAGATCAATCCAATCTAAAACAAACAACATGCCAACATCAATTCAATCAATTTAATCACACAATTATCATCAAATTTATCTCAAATAACTCAAACAATCATTACAAAGTCTCACTCAACACCTAGTAGAAGGGAAACTACTCAAGCATAATGAAAGCAACTAAATAAAGCAATAAGAGAAGAGAAAGTAAGAAATGCTCATTGATATAAGGTGGAGATCTTCAAATTCCTCATTTGATTATCCAAAATCCATGAAAACCATTGTGCTCCTCACTTTCTCTCTCTAAAATTTTGAGAGTTTCTCTCTCTAAAACCTAAAACTAACCTAAAAACTATTCTAAAACTGAAAAATCCTTTTTTCTTTAATGAGCAAAAAAAAACTATATATACCCCTTACAAAATTGCTTAGGAAGCTCCGCAAAAAGTCAGCTGAAACGGGAAAAGGTCCGACCGAACTCTGGGTAGGTTCGGTCGGACTCAGGGTAGGTTCGGCCGAACTCAAGGTAGGTTCGGTCGAACCTCCCTGATCCATGTTTGGTCGAACTTTCCTGGTTCGACCCCTCCTGTAAACATGCTGAAAGCTTAGTTGAAACTGCCTTGGAGGTTCGGTCGAACTTTTCAAAAGTTTGACCACACCTTGATTCGACCGAACCTCTTAGAGGTTTGGCCACACCTCCTCTTGAACTTCCTCTTCTTCCCTTTTGCTCCTCTTGTCTTTGTCCATGCCTCCATACTTGGCCAAGGGGCCTCCTACCGTGCTTAGGACCGTCATGGAACCTGCAAAAGATAGCAAAGATCACGAGAGCATGGGGATGATAAAATTATGCATTGAGATTATCAAAACAAGCGCAAATAAGCATACTTTTCATCCATAAAAGAAAAGGAAGCCATAAGAGGAGAAAAGAGGTAGAAAGCCTAAGAAAAACAGGAGAAAAGAGACCAATACACTACCCCTAAGAGTAACATAAATGTCACTCATCAAACACCCCCAAGCTTAACTTTTGCTCATCCTCGAGCAAAACAAAACAAACACAACGGAAAACGATGTATAATTTTATTTTTTAAAAAAATAAAATAAAAAAATAAAATAAAAAAAAAATAAAATAAATAAAACTAGAAGAGAAAGAATATACACTAACTCACTTTCGTAGGAATCACGAATGCATTTAGCGCATGCATCAAGCACTTTAAACCCCATAGATCGCTCTAGAGGACGAGTATGCTCTCGTAAGGGTATCCTAAAAGTTTAACCCATAACTCTTGACAAAAATCAAGGCAAGGCAAAAAAAACAATAAAATAAAATAAATCGAAGTAAGAGAAAAGTTACAAGCGTTCTAGAGTGGACTTTTATGATGGAACAAACACTAATGAATGTCAATCTTTCTAAAATAATAAAGGTATGCACGTTCTAAGATGTCCAAGGTTGATTGAAACATAACATATGCTAAGCATAGAGAACTAAAGGAAACACATTCCACCTTTTGTTTCAACCAATCAAACCACGTTCTCTCTACTAGTTTCAAATCCACTTTCAAGTTAGCTTCTCATGATTCCACGAAGAAACCGAAAAATAAATAAGAAATTAAAAACATTGAGAAGGTTACCCGACATCTTGGCTATGCAAACTCGCTCTATAGGCTTGATTCCTATTTCCCGCCATCATTGCATGACTTAACCCTCTAGGATCAAAATGACTTTCAAGGTATTAACATATAAGCTAGGAGAGTAAAGGTGTGGAGAACTCTTGAAATTGGTGGTAAACCTATGTGAAGCACGGGTGGAACTTCTTCCACAAGATCCAAACGATTCCAAAACAAAAGTGCCAAGTATGCTTATTAAATAACTTTCCCTCAAGCTTATTTAACACAAAATAACAAAAACAGGGAGAACAACAATAACAAAACCCTTTTTTTTTGTGCTTTACATTCTTCTTTACTTTTTTTTTTCAATAATTCCTTTTTCCAAGCTTTTTTTTTTAAAAATGTCCTTGCCTCTTTTAACTTTGGACGGCTTTTTCTCAAAATGTATTTGGTTTTATGCAAAAAATTATATACAACACATACTTGCTTTGCAAATGAACTTATAATTCTAAACTTGCACCATAAACAATAAAACAAGCTCGAAAACTAAATTGCTTCACAAAACTAAAGGTAGGATTTAAAGTGAAACCAAGGCTGGAAGGCTTGTATTAAGGTTAGAGAAAAGAATGTATATGGCTCAAAAGGGCTAGCAAGAGGGGAAAATATAAACTAAACTCAAAAATAGAAAATCTATCCTATAAAAAGAGAAATTCCTTTGTCATCCCCTAAAGTGGCACGGTCGCGATCTTTGGAGCTAAAAGTCATGTTCTAGATACGAGAATGCAATAGCCAAGGATCCAAATATGCCGCTCAACAAAGTATGATGAAGGCTTGAACAATTTACCTCACTAGGGATAGCAATAACTAACTCTTGATTTCATATCCACCATCGAGAGCAACTCCATCTTACCACAAGCAAGTGAACTAGGGCTTCATGGTCTCAAAGTTCTTAACAACTACCTTAGCATATCATATCCTAGAGTCAACCTAACACATTCTCAAACCGTGCATACCTTTATAATTTAGGAATAAGGACATTCAAGAATACAAGTCCAAGCGTATTATGTCAAAAGTAAGAACAAAACAAAACACATTGCAAATTTGCCTTGATAGAAACAAAATCTTTTTGGAATTTTCAAAATAAAGAAAATGGAAATGCATATACAAATGTGCATGGCATATATGAATCAAAATTCCACCAAACATGATAGAATACCCTCCCCCAAGCTTGAATGAGGCAACATGCTCAAACTTTAAACCAAAGAATCCATGGGAGGAGAAAAGAAAGAAAGTCATCCAACCAACCAACATATGTCCAACAAGTCACATATCATTAGAGGAAGAGCAAGGAAGGATATTACCGGATATTAGGTGGGTATAGTACCCGCAAATGACCCAATTAAACCTTCTTGAAGCTGACTACCTCTAAAATTGAATCTTGTTTTCCATGTGCTAGCAAAAGTGGAGTCAAACTTCCTTGATTCTTGATCCAAACCAATGCATAAGAGTATATTAAGTTATGTACCTAGCACCAAGCACACAAACATTTCCATGAGGCCAAAAACTATTCTAAAAATAAAATAAAATGAAAGCAATAAAACACGGGTTACTTCCCGAGAAAGGCTTGCTTAAGGTCCAAGCTTGACCGCTCTAGTAATAATATTGCAACGATCGCAAGAGCTTGTCAAATGCACTACTACACATCTCATAAGATAACAAGTAAGCAAATGATATAAGAAGGGCATGCACCAAGATTAGTGCACGCAAAAGAAGGTGAAGAGGGAGTTTCCAAGAAGAAGAAGAATCAAAAGAAAATTCAAGAAAATAAGAAGAAGAATAGAAAGGCAAACTCTCTTCACAAAAATCTTTTTGGGTGGCAAAATCACCCTTTTCCTCAATTGAAGACGAATGAGGGACATAAAAATCTTCATAGGCAAGGGGGTCCCCAATAGGCTCATTAACAAAGGAAGGAAAGGATAAAGGAGTGTAGGGGATATGGTTGAAATTCCTTGAAAAAGGGACATGAGAGAAGGGGATAGGAGCAATGGTCTTACAAATGGTCTCTTCTTCACCACCATTCCTCAAATCACCAATTTGAGCATGAAAATCAATCATAGAATCCTCAAAAGAAGAACACTCATGATCATAATCTCCCTCAAACATCCAACTTCCAAGAGGAACTACATAATCCCCTTCACTACAATCATGAACAACAACTCCCTCAACTTCCTTAAAGCCTAAAATCTCAAAGCCATGCATGAATGGATGCAAATTCATTTCAAAATCATCTCTCTCCCATAAAGCATTCTTAATGAACTCACTCAAAAGGCTATGGGTTTTCATTTGACACTCAATGAACACATTAGACATAACCTTAAATGAATCCAAATACTCATGGATAAAAGGATCACAATCATGCACTTGAGACTCATCAAGATGGGAAAAAGGGTTAGGATTTTCAAAATCAACACTCTCTTCATTCTCAACTCCTTCACCATCACTCATATGCTCACCAATGGGATCCTCACACTCTCTTGGTTGCTCAAAATAATCATCATCATCCTCAACACACACATTAAATTGGGATTTTTCACAAACAAGCATCAAGGGTGACAATTGGCTTTCTAACTCTTCTTTTCTTCTCCTTTCCTCCTCAAGACGCTCCTCATTCTTTTTCATTATCTCTAATTGACCTCTCATAGAATTAAGAATCATTTCCTTACTAGGCCCAAGCTCATTATCAAGCTCAATGCACCTAATTTGAGATTCAAAAGTAGCAATAAGGGATTCAAAAGGTGTTAAAGGTTGAGGCTCAACAAGAGAAGAAGAAGTACAACCAAGATTGGAAAAATCAACATTAAGATCATGAGCATATACATCACATTGGGGAGTGGGGGCACAATCAAACACATGAGATTCATCATTAAGGGAACGAAGCACATCACAAGAAGGCATGGTAAATAATGAAGAATATTGAAACACACCATTAGCATCAACTTGAGCATGTACCTCATCATCATGAACAAAAGAGGAAATAGAGTTGAAATCATGTGTTTTAGGTTCACTTAATGGATCATGTAACAAATCATGGGAATTCATGCTAATATTAGAAGTATCAACACATTGCATATCAATAATAGAATCATGATTACCCTTATTATAGACATCCCAAGCAAACCAAACATAAAAATCCCAAGCATCATCAATTGATAATGCTCTAAATTCACCATTATGCATGCATTCAACTTCATCCCTAGTTTGCTCATTCAAACCAAAATAACAAATCTCACAAGCCTCCCAAAGACTACAACAATCAAAATCCAAATATCCCACAAGTCTATTGAAATATTCACAAAAAGGCTCATTGTCATATTGAGGAAACGAGTTACTTGCCATTTTTTTTTACAAAAACAAGCAAAAATTAAAAAATAAAAATAAAAATAAAAAGAAAAGTATACACAGAGACCTAGACTCAAGCAATCAAAAACAATCAAGCATTGACACCGTTCCCCGGCAACGACGCCATTTTGACGGGCGTTAGAACGGTCGCACATTCCACACTCAACCAAATAAATTTATAAATCCTAAAACTAACCCCTAAACAAGTCTAGTGGTAAGTTCGGAGTCGAACCACAAGGAACGGTAATGTTGGATTGTTCTCGATCTAATGCTTAAGCTACGCCGAAATCGGTTTATGGATAGTGGACACTACAACTACACTAAAACACATATAAAGAACAAGGTATGATAAAGTCTACTAGGGGAAAAGATCCACTTAGAACAATTAATAAGCTAATGAGAATCCATTTGATAATCAATCATGCAAAGAAAGAATTATAATGAGAATTAACTACACTCAAAAGTAATCTCTCAAATTCCTAGCCTAGATCCCTCATTGACTAGGTGCATAGAAGAAAATTACCCAAAATGCAATCAAATATATCAATTCTAATTCACAATCCCTTGTCAAACTAAAACCAATATGCAATTAAGTGTGCTATCATGGGAGATCAATCCAATCTAAAACAAACAACATGCCAACATCAATTCAATCAATTTAATCACACAATTATCATCAAATTTATCTCAAATAACTCAAACAATCATTACAAAGTCTCACTCAACACCTAGTAGAAGGGAAACTACTCAAGCATAATGAAAGCAACTAAATAAAGCAATAAGAGAAGAGAAAGTAAGAAATGCTCATTGATATAAGGTGGAGATCTTCAAATTCCTCATTTGATTATCCAAAATCCATGAAAACCATTGTGCTCCTCACTTTCTCTCTCTAAAATTTTGAGAGTTTCTCTCTCTAAAACCTAAAACTAACCTAAAAACTATTCTAAAACTGAAAAATCCTTTTTTCTTTAATGAGCAAAAAAAAAACTATATATACCCCTTACAAAATTGCTTAGGAAGCTCCGTAAAACGTCAGCTGAAACGGGAAAAGGTCCGACCGAACTCTGGGTAGGTTCGGTCGGACTCAGGGTAGGTTCGGCCGAACTCAAGGTAGGTTCGGTCGAACCTCCCTGATCCATGTTTGGTCGAACTTTCCTGGTTCGACCCCTCCTGTAAACATGCTGAAAACTTGGTTGAAACTGCCTTGGAGGTTCGGTCGAACTTTTCAAAAGTTTGACCACACCTTGGTTCGACCGAACCTCTTAGAGGTTTGGCCACACCTCCTCTTGAACTTCCTCTTCTTCCCTTTTGCTTCTCTTGTCTTTGTCCATGCCTCCATACTTGGCCAAGGGGCCTCCTACCGTGCTTAGGACCGTCATGGAACCTGCAAAAGATAGCAAAGATCACGAGAGCATGGGGATGATAAAATTATGCATTAAGATTATCAAAACAAGCGCAAATAAGCATACTTTTCATCCATAAAAGAAAAGGAAGCCATAAGAGGAGAAAAGAGGTAGAAAACCTAAGAAAAACAGGAGAAAAGAGACCAATACACTACCCCTAAGGGTAACATAAATGTCACTCATCATTAATATCACCAAGTTGAAGCCAATCCACTCTGGATTTCTGCCAGTAAATACTTTCCTGGACATTAATCCATTATTTAACAGTTTGAATAGCTTCTAATTCCTCGGAGTGCAAATCAACACTGTTAAACATCATGTATAATTTGCTGCTGAATGTAAGTTAGAGCATTCTGAGCAGCTTCAACCTTCTCAGACACATTACCAAATTTCTCAATGTTCATAGCCTTAAGAGCAGTCTTAACTTGTTTAAGCTTAGACCAAACCTTATGCATTGCATTACCAGGAACAGAACATTGCCAAGCAGAATCCACAATATCTAGAAAACTTTCATGATCAGCAAGATAGTTAAGAAACCTAAAAGGTCTCCCTTTGCCAGGCTGAGAATGAATGATATCAAAGAGAATAGGGTTGTGATCAGAGAGATAGGGGGGCAAATAAATAGCTTCAACATGCCCATAAGTATCCATCCAGTCCTGGTTAACAATACCTCTATCAATTCTAGAATAAGTCCTAGGACCATTATGAGCTTTGTTACACCAAGAGAAAAAGGAACCCTTACTCTTAATTTTAGTCAAAGCCAAATCATCAATAAAGTTCTGAAAATTCCTGGTTTCATAATCAGTAACCACAGCCCCATTAATTCTATCTTCACAACATAGGGTAGAGTTAAAGTCACCAGCACATAACCAGGTTCCAGAGATACCAGTCAACTGCCTAAGACCAGCCCATAGAGATAGCCTATCCTGAACAGTATGTAACCCATACACAAAGGTAATGAAAACCTGAGTTTGCAGATCTTTTGTAGTGATCAAGCAATGTACTAACTGTTCTTGTGAAGAAAGAACAGCTAAATTGAGAAGATCAGCTTTCCAACCTATCCAAATTCTACCCCTTGGGGAATTAGCATAGTTAGCAAACCAAGTCCAATCAACCCCAAATTTCCTCTAAATCTTGACAAAATTATGTTGGTTTACTTTAGTCTCAATAAGGCAAAGAACATCACACTTCTGATCAGAAAGTAGCTTTCTAACAGAAGCCACCTTCCCAGGGTCATTAAGACCCCTAATGTTCCATGAAAGAACTATCATGACCCTAGAGGGGGAATCCCATCACCCCCGTTAGGTTCATTAGTTTCATCAGTAATTTCAATACCATCAGAATCCAAAGTCAAAGATTGATAAACATTAGAACTAGAGACATGGAAATTGATCTGTCTATTGGCTTTTTTCTTGGATTTCTTGCTAGGAATTTGCCAATCATCATTATTCTGAGTCTGAGGGGGTGGTGTAACTTCCTTAACAGGAGCAGGAACCTTAGCAGCCTCCGCAGGAACCTTGTTACTCTTCTTAAGAACCCAGACTTTCTTAGTCTGAGTTTGAGTGGTCTTTAGATCACCTATTTGCTTCTTTTTAGCAGGTTGAGGCTTGGAACAGTCATGTCCAACCTTATCACATTTCTTACAAAAAGGAGGAGTCCACTCATAATGCACTGTGATCTCAATCAATTCACCAGCAGGGCTCTCAACCCAAACAGAGCTTGACAGAGCTTTAGTAACATCAATTTCAACAAGAAGTCTAGCAAACGAAACCCTTAGCTGCCTAGAGGTACATTCATCAGCACAGACTGGAACGCCAAGTAAACTACCAATTCTGCTTAGGGTTTCAGCTCCCCAGCAGTTCAATGGCAAATTAGGAAGCTTAATCCATAGAGGAACAGTTCTCAATATTTCAGCATGGAAATCAAATATGTTAGACCACGCTTTAACAATTGCTGGCTTACCAAAGAACATGTGAGGACCAGAACATAAAATAGCATTCTTATCATCATTAGATTTCAGATTGATTATAAAACATCCCTCATCATGCCAAAATATATTTGGTTTAGCAATGTTACTCTAATTATCAGCAACAAACTTATGAACTGCAGAAATAGTGGGAGAGTAACCAACAACATAGAAGATAAGAACATTACCCCATTTTTTGTTGCCCTCACAAATATCAGCAGAGCTAAGCTTAGCAATCAATTTTCCATCTCTGATCTCAGGAGCAATGAAAGACAGAGAGGTCCCTTTTGCATTGAGCTTCCCTTTGAATAAATCCTTCCATTCCCCAGGAGCTTCAGGAACTTGATTCAAGTTATCAGGAGCCTCAAAAGAGCCCGGAATGACAGCTCAGGGATAATCGAGCTTGGATTCTGACCAAAAACCAATGGAACAGTAACCGTAAAAACCCTAGTTACTGTTCCATTGGTTCTAGTCTGAGATTGAGCAATCGAACTTCTATAAGAACTTTCAAGTATTCTAACTTCACCTCTAGATATCATTCCACCAGATGGATGTACCAAATGTGGAGGAGGAGTAACCAGTTCATCTTCTTCAGCAATCGGTTCAGAGGAAGAAGTTCCAGATTTTCTCAGCTTATCCAGAATCTTATCAATAAGGGCATTGTTTTGTGAAAGAGGGGTTGAATATTTCTTCTTACAAGCCATGATGATGAGGAGCTAGATGAAGATCCCGACCTAGCAAGCAGAAATCGACATGGAAATCGCCTAGAGAGAAAGTCAACAAAAAGTCAACACCTTCGATTCATCCATATGTTAGAGTAACTTTGTTCTTAGGGGATTAGATGCTTGATGACTTCTTATATGCTATTGAGGCAAAGGAGCTCCCATGTTACGCCGACTTAGTGAACTTTCTTGCTTGTGGGGAGTTTCCACCTTCCTTTTTTAAGAATCAACGAAAGCAGCTTAAGAGAGAGGCTAGACACTATGTGAGGGATGATCCCATCTTGTACAAGAGAAGAGTCGATGGCTTACTTAGGTGTTGTGTTCCAAATGAAGAGGTGCCTAGTGTTTTGAAGATGTGCCACTCGGATCCAAGTGGTGGCCATATGGGTGTTTTTAAAACCGCTACTAAGATTCTTCAAAGAGGTTTATGATGGCCATAAATCTTCAAGGATTTATGGGGTTTTGTTAAGACATGCAACCGTTGTCAACGAGTTAGGAATATCTCCAAGCGAAATGAGATGCCTCAACAACCCATACTTGAGTTGGAAGTATTTGATGTGTGGGGAATTGATTTAATGAGATAGTTTCCCTCATCCTTTGGAAATCAATATACCCTTATGGCGGTGGATAACGTGTCTAAATGGTTTGAGGCCATTGCTTCCCCAGCTAATGACCACAAGGTGGTAATGAAGTTGTTCAAGAAGGTCATTTTTCTAAGGTTTGATGTACCTAAGGCGGTGATAAGCGATAAGGGTTCTCATTTCATTCACAATGCCCTTTTAAAAGATGTTGTGAAAGTATGGAGTTCATCAACGATTTGGCCTTCCATATCATCCTCAAACAAGCGGCCAATTGAGGTTTTTAATCGTCAAATCAAGGGGATCCCTGAAAAGATGGTTGCGAGAAATCAGAAGGATTGGTCGGAAAATTTAGATGATTCTCTTTGGGGCTATAGAATGACTTTCAAGACACCTATAGGTACCACTCCATACCTCCTAGTTTATGGAAAATCATGCCATCTCCCGGTAGAACTCGAACACCGTTCTTTGTGGGCAATCAAGAAGATAAATTTTGATTTGGCAAGTGCGGGGGAGAAAAGGTAGTTAGATCTTCATGAGCTAGAGGAGCTTCGAATTGATGGTTACGATTGTGCTAGTATTTACAAAGCTCGTTCCAAGGAAACTCATGACAAGATTATTGAGAAGAAAGATTTTTGTGTTGGTGACAAAGTTCTTCTCTAAAATTCGAAAATGAAGTTGTTTCCAGGAAAGCTCATGTCAAGATGGAGCAGTCCTTATTTGGTTAAGAATGTCTTTCTTAGTGGTGTTGTAGAGGTTTCAATGATGGATTCTTTGTCTCTGTTTAAGGTCAATGGCCATCGACTCAAGAAGTACTTCGATGGTGCTTTTGTTGGCCTTCTTCACATATTGCTTCTCCGACAACCACCTCAACAGGTGGAGGACGTCGAGATATGACGTTAAACAAGAACTACCTGGGAGGCAACTCGGTTTTCTAACTCTTTTCTTTTAATTTTTCAATTCTCTATATTTCTTTTACTGTTGAGAACTTTTCTTATTCTTATTAGTTTTCTTAATTTTAGGTACTGTAGGGAATATTTCAAGCATCCCACACTTGAGCCCCACTGTGATCATACACTTAAGCATGGTGGCGTGCTAAGGGAAGGAACTAGAGTAAAAGAGTCGGCAACAAGTTTTAGGAACTTGTAAACCGTTCACAGGGTGAAGGTTACACCCCTTAACGATCCAGGAGATCGTTAACTCCAATAGCTCTGGAACCATGACTGGAAGTTCGTGGATGAAGGTACAAATCCAACCTAAAAGAGATTGAACCTGCCCTAATATTAGGTCTCTACTGTATTCTGATCGTATTCATGTGCGCTTTCTGACTAACATGCAATCAATAGGTTTACCCTAAACCTGCTTAATCTATGTTGGTTGAATATTAATGCACAAACAAAACTATTATTGGCAATCACTTGAATTATAATCATATTAGCCTTAAATAAGATTATTAATTATCTTATTAAGCGTGATTACAAGTACAAATTCCTTTTAAACATGCATAAAAGGTGTGATCAAGAAATAACAATTAAATAAATAATACCAAGCAACAATAACCATCATCATAATATCAAGCATAATATTATTAGCAAGATCCTAGGCATGATACTGTAGGCATCGCTCGAAGTGCGCCTACGTTAAAGCATGTGGTGAATATGCTTCGCACTCATAGGAAGTGGGAATTAACATATACAATTAGGGACAAGGAAAGTAGGGAGCCACCAACAAGGTTTTTAAGGAACTTGTAAACCGTTCACGGATCATTTAAGGCAACCACGAATAAGGGACAACGAAGGCAACAACAATTGACCCGTGAAGGTTACACCCCATTCATAATCCATGAGATTACTAACTCCATATGGTTCGGAACCACGAAAGGAGGATCGGGGATGATGGGACGAAGTGAGTCATGGAGTCACATTCGTCCGTATTGCCCTCTACTCGATTCTTATAGTGAAATGTGATTCATGCAATCCCAGAGACATACAAACAAATATTCAATTTGCTCCAAACTATTATTATGCTAAATTGGTTAAATATTAATGCAACACATAATTCTAAAATATTTGTGACCACTTGAATCAATAACAAGATTAAAAAGGAACCTAAACCGGTTGTCCAAATTATCTTATTAGGCGTGATTTTCAATTACATATTCCCTTTAAACATGCAATATGGTGATCAATAAATATAATAAAATAAACATTAATATTGGAAGCAATTTCACAATAATATCGTTAGTCAAATCAAATAATAATAATAACCTAATCATGATACTAGCAATATAAAAATAAAATAAGAGGAATTAAATTAATTAATTACTCACATTTTCCGAGTTCCTTTAAATTGCTACATCATGAATAAATTGTTAGTAACTTCAATAAAAATATAAATCAAATGAAAATTAAATTAAATAAATGTAGATTTAATTTGGTCCAAACCCTCAGTTATTGATACCTTTCACGCCTTGGTTTAAGGACAGAACTTCGGGTGTTGTATGGACTCCTTGGAGTGCTAAAGGAAGAATGGTATTATTAGGAATACAGGTTTAAGGCTTAGAATAAGAAAGAGAGAGAGAAGAGAATGATTTTTGGAGTAAAAGAGAGGAAGAGAGAGTGATTTGATGCCTCGAACTGCAGAAGTGAGTTTCTTATTTATACGGAAAATGAGCAGAGAGAACACACGGAACCCTAAAAAGATAAAAACACTAAAAATTAACACCGCGACACGGCAGAGAACACCGTGACACGGTGCTTTCAGATGGGGGAAAATCACGTGACGCGGGAAAAATTGGAGTGACGCGGGACATATTTGACCTACGAGAAGTGAAAACGCGTGAAGAGTTTACGCGGAAAAGACACAAGATAATTCCGTGAAACGGCACACGTACCGTAGCATGGCAGTGTCCACCGTGGTACGGTACATTACACCATGTCACGGTATAGGAAAACGCGAAAATTACACGGAAAAAGCACCGTGACACGGTGAGAAATACCGTGTCACGGCAACATGTACTGTGCCATGGTGGAATTTGACGCGAAAAAGCTTCAAAAATAGCACCGTGACACGATGTACAGTACCGTGTCATGGCACCAGGCACCGTGCCACGTCATAAAGCGTCGTGCGCGGTAATTCCTGTTTTTTTACACGTTTTTAAAATTGCAATAACATTTGATCCGTAACTTGGAATAAGACATATAATATATCATTGGAAATCTTATCAAGTCTATTTTCCAACACAATTTGAATCAGGTCAAAATGATGTTTATATTTTAATATATGGCCGTTTTAGTGGAAGGGTGTCGGTTTTGGGCCGAGTTTAGTGTTTTGCTCATATCTTTTCCGTTATAGCTCGAAATTGGGCTTATGATATATGGTTGGAAAGCTTATTTCAAGGCCTATCCAACCAAATAATAATTGGATAAAAATTATATAGCCATAAAATCAGTTCAGATCTGTTTTGTGATGTGGATACGAAAAGTGGAAAATATGTTATGATTTAGGGAAATGAACTAGAAATAGGATTGGTTTATGAAATATATTGGATAAAACATGGATTTAATCACTTCAAAGATTAAATACTCAACCCAACCAATAATGGCGGTGAAAGGTATTCATCATCGGGTTTGATTCTGGGGAGACATTTTTAGGTGTCTACAGATACTAACAAGATTAATAACAAATCATAGCATGTCACTAAATAATAAAAAGCAATAAAGATCAATTAGCCCTAACATGACATTAAAATGATATTAGGAAAGAAATATACTACTACAAAAGGCGTAATTTTCGATGCTTTTAAGACTTATTTTTGACACAGAAAAGCGTCGCAAATATCTTTCTCGACACTTCTAAAAAGCGTCGAAAATAAGCTAGTCGAGAATTTTGCCACACATAAAAAAGCATCGAGCGTCGAAATTTGCAGTAGTTGGCGTACTTTCTCAATTTTATCGACGCTTTTTTTGTCTAAAATCCTTAGATTGGTGATGCTCTTTTGTGTCTAGAGTTCCAAGTATTTGATGTTCAATATTTTGGCGACACTTTTTTCTTTCTTTATTTTAATTTTGGGGACACTTTTTCTTGTCCATATTTCTAAAATAATACCTAAAATATATTTACCAAAAAACATGCGCCAAAAAAAAAAAATTTACCAAAATATGTATTTCATACTGAAAAAAAGTATTACTAGTATAACAAAGATATGTATATATACCAAAAAAAATTGGGCCAATTTTTTTTTTTAATTTCATAGAAGTATTTTATAGTACATGTACCACATTACATAGTAATGAGTGTTCTATTACAACAGATATAATTCCAACTTATAATTCATTCGTGACTAGTTCTAGAGGAACAAATCTGCTCATTTCTTCTCAAAAAAACTTCAATCAATATCCAGTTAGCTGCTCCTTAATATGCTTGCAAGAGGGCGTAAAGCGAAATTCAAGAAGTTTTAGCAGTTCATTAGCTTCATCTATATACTCTTAATCGAGTGAGGGGTCGAACAGGTGTTGAAGGTTGTCAAATTTTTACTCCTTCCAAACATAATTCATGAATTTTTTAATACGAAGCATTAAACATCTCTTTTGTTTCAGTTTTATTTGATGGAAAATTAGACATTAATAATACATTACCTTGTCAACTAAGTATGATCTCCTTGTTCTAAGTTGAATTCTACAACTTCGTGTCCCCTAATAATATGCAATAGCAGTATCCCATAACTATATACGTCTGATGTCCTCGTCAAATGACCAGAAACTGCATATTCTGGAGCAAGATATCCCCTTTCAAATTTTGACATAGCAAGAAAGATAATCAATATTAACAGCAAGCAGACACAAGATGGAAGAAATAAATTGTTTAGGATTTCACTTACAATGTGCCTACCAAGAGAGTGCTCACATGAGAAGAGAGTGCTCACATGAGATGTATTGTCCATAAACAGCTTTGCCAAACAGAAATCCGCAATCTTCGGCGTGAAATTCTTATCCAAAAGTATGTTGGCAGATTTGATGCCACGGTGCACAATGTGAGGCTCAATTTCCTCGTGGAGAAAGCAAGGCCTCGTGCTACTCCTAACGAAATTCCCCTCCTCATTTTCCAACTAAACTTTCTTCTGCTTTCTTATCCTCCTGTATTTTCCATGATCACGAATTAGAAAGAATTGGTTATCAAATTTAGAGAACAAGCGGACTCTTTAATTACCTAGAAGGCCAGTGTCATGCTGTTCTTTTCCATGTAGTCATAGATCAAAAATCTGTTGGCAACAGATCTGCAACATCCTTTAAGAGTGATAAGATTTTTCATGTTTGATGTTAGATAATGTTGTGATTTCAGTGATAAATTCTCGTTCTCCTTGCAGTGACTCGAGTTCAACTGAAAGTACTTTGACTGCCACGGTTGATTCATCTTTGAGGTATGCCTTAAAATATCCAATAAAAAACTGCGTTAAGCTAATCAAAAAGACTTATTTCTACCGAACTGGCTATCTTAGTCAAATAGTTAAATAACTTAAATTATTGCTACCTTGTAGACAGAGCCAAAGCTGCCTTCTCCTACTTTATTTGAAGACTAGAAGCCACTGGTGGCAATCTTAAATAGACCCTAAAATAGGAATTAGTTTGCAAATATGAAAGATCTCTTTGATTATTGATCGAGCATGGAGTAATATGAAAGACCTTGAAGCCACAGGTGGCAGTCTTAAATACTCCCCATTGAGAATTCAGTTGAAATCAAATAAAACCAAAAATAAATTAACTATCCCTAACTTTCTCTAACAAATATGAAGGATCTCATTGATTACACAAAGATGTGTCATACTGCAAAAAGCTAGCAAGACCCATTTCATGTATTGGTTCCTACACAGGAATTTTCAATTATTATCTAAATAAATATCAACTCGTAAACAAAAAAACAAATTTAAGCCACTAAATTACTGATCGAGCATGGAGTAATCCTCTCATTTCATAGTTGATAATAAGTAGTCTTCAACTCAGTTCTTAACTAACAAAAAGATTATGCAAAGTGATGTACCCATTGACCAAGCAAGTGGACTTTGACAACACCTCTAACATTACACCAACTATATCAAATCTTGGCATCACTATTCTGAAATCCAATGCAAACTCCCAGAGTCACAAATCACATGAGAAATAAATACCAAAGTGTATGTAGTAGTAAATTGCCATGTAATCAGTAGTATAATTCATTATTGCACCCCATAGAAACATCATACACTAAAATGGATGTTTAGCACTCATAATTTTTAACTACAAGTTGATCTGTTTTTAAAATTTGTAGTGGTTCTGATTTCCATCACAAAATCAACTTATTAGTACATAATCAAAAAATAACAATTATACCTGATTATACAATTTAGTACCACTAATTTCATTTTGAATCAAAATTCTAAAAAAAATGTCAGGGAAAAGAAACCCCTCAATTATGTATGTGAAGAACAAAAATCAAAAATGGACAAAAGAATGGACAAAAGCAAACCAAAAGCATTATAACACTATAATTATTGATGCATAGATATAGAGGACGAATCAATAATTCAATTGAAAAATCATATCAGATATGACAAAATTACAAGTAACAATTGCTTTTCAACAACCAAAGATGAATTGAATTTGAATAAAACTAACCAAAAATAAACAAAAATTAATCAAACACCATTAAATACAGTCAAAAGGAACAAGAAGCTTTCGTTCCAGTTTAATTCTTTTTGCTTAATTTCTTAATGCTTCTTAAAATCTCAAGTTCTCTTTAGAAATTTACTTATAAATTTCCAATTAAAGCAATTATAAACTTATTTTGAATTCATACATGAAATCTGACTATACTATTTCTTATAATAAAATATTTACTCAGATCAAAAGTATCGCAAAATGAAGCATAACAATATATATAAATATAATAAAACACTATAATTTCTGTTATTCAAAAATCAAACAATACCAGATCATAATTTTGTGATGATGTTAAAAAAAATTGCTAAAAAGAATTAATTAGACTTCAAATCAAAGACGAAATTCAAATTCTAAAATGAAAGATGTACCTTAGAAATAACGACGGCATAAAGAATGACAAAATTGAGTACTGTTCAAAGTGAAGAGAAATTATACCAAGCAATAATTTGGGGAATTGCAGTGAGAGAGTTAAGATCTCGATTTACAATCCATGAATCTCACAAAGGAGAGATGAAAAGTTAGGGTTGAGAACTTGAGTAGTCAGAATTGTTTTTTTTTTCTTATTGGTTTAATTTCTTTCCCCTAAAATTGAAAATGTGGGCTGAGTCACGAGGCACTACTTACATTCACGTACATGTGCTTGTATTCTCGACGCCTTATATCGACGAAAATTGCTTTCGTCACCTAAAAGCGTTGTAAAGACGCGGGATGATAAATTTACCTGTTGACTCCCCTTAGTGTCGAGGAAACAGTGTGGAAAAAACACACCTTTTGTAGTAAGGAGCATCATAATAATATACGTGATATTAGAAATTTTAGTTAACCCTAAATATAATACTAGGAAGCAATATAACATCCTAACATGATACTAGGAATCAACAAAATCATCTAAGAATGATCCTTATATCAAATGATCAATAAAACAATTAAAGTACTTCCTTCGATACCTCGTACCTCTTTCTAATAATAAAATACACATGTTAGTAACTTCAAGGAAAAATAATAAACAAACAATTAAATTAAAAAATTGAAATAGAGATTTGGGACCAAACCCTCATAAATATCAAACCTTTCACTTCTAGGGCGAAGGCAACTTCGAACTTGGCTAGGTGTATCTAGCTCTAATGAGTGAAGAATTTTGTGGGAGGGAAGGTTTAGAAAAAGAATAGAGAGAGAGAAACCTCCTAGCTTTTAGAGAGAGAAAGAGAGAGATGATTGTTGTTGTGAATGATGAAAAAATGGGGAAATACGACCTCTATTTATAGAAAAATAGTCTGGGATCAAAGCAAGTCATATTCGGAATAAAATACCTCATGTTGCCAACGACATGATTCAGTGCCAGACGACAAGAGCAGCGCTAGGCGACAGCTGCAGTGCCAGGCGACAGCTATCAATGCCAGGCGACAGCTTTGTCGTCTTGCGCTGATTCAAAAATACAACATGTTTTCATACACGGAACCATCTTTTAAACCGGTTAACAAGTAACTCCGGGTCTAAGAATATTTAAAATCATGTTTGTGACAAATAATATATTTTATTCAAAATAAAACATCTTTTATAATTATCAATCCTAATCTCATTAGAATTAAAAAGAACCTTCTAGAGAATCCTAGAAGATTAAAGTCAATCCTAATTACTTTAGAAATAATAACTAATAGTCCCTCCTCTAGATTATTGGGCCACATTTAAAATCATTGGGCCTAATTTAATTTAATCCATAACTTTCTCATTATTCATCGGAATTGGGCTTATAATTTATCATTAGAAAGCTCTTTCCAAACCCAATCCAACTACACTATTATTGGACCCTTATCATGGACTGGCTATTATTCATAAATAGATTAAGAAAAGAAATATTTTTAAAAACAGAAAGATAAATAATTTATTAAAAACATCCTCATCACTAGGCTTTTCACACTTTCACTTTGTTCGATAATCAAATGACGTGAAAGGTATTCATCACTGGGTTTGTTTTTGGGGAGACACGTTTGGGTGTCTATAGAAGCCCCCACTTTGACAGAGTTTGGAGAAACGCAAGTTTCGAAAATAAAAGTCAAAGTAGCGATAGGGACGGAGAATGATTCAGAACGTTAGGCGATCCTAAATCGTTCTTGTAACGTCGATACCTGCAAAGTAGCGTTAGTTAAAACAAATAAAAGAGTTAAGAAATGCGTATTTTTCACCGTCGAGCACACGTCTCTGGAGTAACCGATTTTATTTGACGATCTTCCTCAAGCTAGGGGATACAGCCCGAAGACTGCTCCGCTTGCAGCTGCCTTCAATTTCCGCTGTTTTAAGTCCATCTTCCACATCCTAGGGAACATGATCGAAGATAACCCCACTTGAAGTCACCTCCTGCTTTCTGACAATCTTCCACATCCTAGGGAACGCCGTCGAAGATAACTCTGCTTGAACCCCTCCTTAGTTGTTGTGACAACCCTCCGTAAGCTAGGGAACACCGTCGAAGATAACTCCGTCTGCATCCATCTGTAGTTGTTGTGATAATATTCTGAAGAAAATTACCGAAGACCAACGCTTGGTAATCCTTAAAGCTCGCTTGAACTTTGTTGTTGCGATATTTGCTGAAATTACCGCGGTGCCAGTACGTCAGCGCATTTTGCTGCTTATAAACCATTACGTCAGTGCTTTTGATGAGCCAATGTTTAGGCGCTTTAAGCTAAGTGAGACGATCTTTTATTAGGTCGATCACCTACTGTGATTGTAATCGAGTCGATTACTTAATCATGTTAAATTGATTATAGGGGCTTACTAGCGTACCAAGGAACCCAAAATTGATGTATAAGTCTGCGTAGTCATTCGTGGGGGCAACACATCCTATCGCCGCACCAGCGCACATTGGAACACGCCGTCGCCAGGATTTTGCTCTGTCGCCAGGCGACATAGGTTAGCGCCTAGCGATAAGCTTGTTGTCTGGTGCTGATGTTGGGTTTTCCGAAATAAAACCCCTTTTTCTTCATTTTTGTCATGGTTGTTGCTGTTGTTTGTGTTGCGCACGAAAACTTCAATTCACTCGTTCTTGCTCGTTTGTCCACCAAATTCACTCAAACTTCTTGCAAATCAAAGCTTATTTCATCTAGTTTCCTGATCTATGTAAGGTTTTCTCAAAATCATCTCGGTTTATGTTGAATTTAAACATGTTCATGCGCAGTTTTTGAAAAATCCAAACCCAATTATGCTCAATTTTGCTTTAATAAACGAAATAATGTGTACCTCTACGACTCTCCAAAACCTGGAAAGAGCGATATCTCCCTCGAAGGAGCTATGACGACTAACAATTTGTGGTCTAACTAGGAAGTTCGCGTAGGCCAAGATGGCCTAATCATACGACCCGACCATCGCAAGGTCGCAAAGAGCAGGCAGGTAGTAGAGTAGCACTCGACTACCTCTGTCAGGCAAAAAGGTCCTTGACAACTAGATGAGAGCGAATATGCGCACCCGCTGCTCAGGGGTGGTCGCGCTGTCTAGAAAGGTTGTCACAAGCATGGACCGACGAATGCACCTAGAGCTAGCTGTGTCGGCTCAGCCTCACTACGAGCCCGAATGGGGATAGGGCCCAACATCTCTAGTACCTCTGGAAAAATACAGAGATCTCGCTATCGAAAGGAAGCACGACCGAAGTAAACTCCAATCCCGTGATGAGACTGAAGTCAATAGGGGTAATAGTTAGCTTACCCCAGGGAAAATGGAAGGTGTTGGTGGTGTCCCAAAAGAACTCCACCAAAGCTCGAACTACATAGTGGCTCTGTCCGAAAGAGTACATAGCCCGAGTGGCTTGCAACATAGGAGTCCAGCCGCAAGACTCATGTAGACACCCATTTGTGTCTCCCCAAAACCAAACCCGGTGATGAGTACCTTTCACGTTGAATCATAATCGAATGAAGTGAAAGTGTGGAAAGTCTAGTGTTGCGGTTAGTTTTTAATTCTTTTCTTTCTCTATGTTTTTGAAAACCTATTTTAAGAAAACGGCCAATACAGTTTGGTTTGGTCCAAATCAAGGGTCCAATAATAGAATAGTTGGATGGGGTTTGAAAAGAGCTTTCTAACGATATATTATAAGCCCAATTTCGATGAATAATGAGGAAGTTATGGCCAAATTACTAAACTGGGTCCGGTTTGATCTTTACGTGCGGCCCAATGATCTAGAGGAGATCCTTATATTGATTTATCATTCCTAATGTAATTAGAATTGATTTTAGTCTTCTAGATTCTTCTAGAAGGTTCTTTTCATTCGTAATTTAATTAGCATTGATAAATTGACTTTAGTTGAATTTTTAGAGTTTTAATCAGAATAAAAAAAGTGTTTTTAAGGAAAATACGATTTTGCCCTTTTGTACGGCTAAATTTTATCAAAACTAAGAAAACGTGTGAAAACTGTTTCTAGCGCCTGACGACAGCATTAGCGCCTTGCGCTAAGGCTTGGCGTCTGGCGCTAATGTCTGGCGTCTGGCGCCAATAGTCGTTTTATTCTCTTCGAAACTCTGATTTATTTTTCTATCCATCCGGGTGATTTTCTGTATAAATAGCCTCTTAAAACCTCTGTTTTCGATCATCAATTCTCTTATTCTCTCTAGTTTTTAAGATTCTTCTCTCTCTCTTTTCTAAACTAGCCTTTTACATACGAAATTCCGCACAAGATCTAGAAACACCTAGCCAAGTTCGAAGTTGCCTTCGCCCTAGACGTGAAAGGTTTTAATTTCTGAGGGTTTGGTCCCAAATCTAGTCTAAACTTTCTTAATCTCTATTTCAATTATTTAATTTAATTGTTTATTTTATATTTTCCTTGAAGTTACTAACGTGTGTATTTTGTTATTAGAAAGAGGTACGAGGCATCAAAGTAAGTACTTTAATTGTTTGCATTGATATTATGATATAGAAATCATATTTAGATTATTATTTTGATTCCTAGTATCATGTTAGGATGTTTTATTGCTTCCTAGTATCATGTTCAGGGTAACAACT